ATAATTATTGCGTAATCCCGCGCGTTTAAGATAGAAATGTTAATTTCTGCATTCCCGGATGTTTTACCATCGAATATACATGAGAGTTTTCTCATAAAATTATTTAAAGAAAATAATCTATATTATCGTTAATTCACATGAGATTTTTTTAATTCTATAAGCCATTCTCACAAATGTATATTAACATAATAAGTATATAAGTGCGTATAAATTTATTTTTCCTGGATAACATAAAAGCATTCCTTTCCTGGATTGTTTGAAATATCGACTCAAGTGAAATTCTCTTCGTTGCGTGGTCCGTGCATAGCACCGATTTCAAGACGGTATCTGAGGACGCTCGTGCAATTATGCGTTCTACCCACGCAACCGTACCTTGCACGATGTATGCGCTTCAATACTTATGCAGTGTTGAGTGGAGTAGCGAAATATACAACATATACTGCAAAGCGAGTTTCACGAACCACAGAGTTGCATCCTGTCACAAAGGCTAATGCTATTATCTTATTCTTTTTTCTAATACACAAAATTTCGTTCCATGTCATTTTATTTTTTTGATACATTTAAATACACAATTTTATTCTATTCAATGTAAATATATTAATGACCCGTGCTTATCGTTTCTCAAACACAAATTCAAGATTAGTTTCTATATATGGAACAAACGCAAATACGATGACACACTTAATGAATCTCGCTTTTTCTAAACTATATAGCACGGCGCTATATACGTCTATTGCCTTTAAATATTGACTTCCCTCGAATATAATTCCCATTTTATTATCTCTGCAGGAAACATAATTTTGCTATTGCTATTAATATATATTTAAATTTTGTCGTATACTTAGCATATTTCGGGATATTTCCTTATAATTATACAGTTCATGTATTATAAAATACATAATTATCAATAATCTCCGTTTCGAAGTTTAACATAAAACCGATAACCTGGTTCATATGGAATTACTTTCGCATGGAATCGATGTACGTTACCTTTCGCACCCTCGTTTAGCGCGTATTCCACTTGAGTTATAAATAGGCGTTTTAAATAATATGTCAATCGACGAATGATATTGATTTTTTCTTTTCTTTTGCGTCCCTTGTATATTGACATACATTTGGTACAAGGGTCTTACCCTCGGAGAGTGTCGTTAACTCCGTTGCCGGCTTTCAGTGAAACTGCAACCGCTGCAGATCGATACTTGCCCCCCTTGTGTTCGATTCACGCTGCGCTAGTAACCGGAAGGGACAATCCCATCGAGTGAAATGCATCGAAATTGGCATGGACGCGCACGCTTGTGTTTTTCATTTAGCAATAGAAGTTTGCATGAACGATCAATAAAAATCTGAATGCGGTAGATTCATGGCATGTGGAATCATGCAACTATTCGAATTATCGCGAGGCATGTAATGAAGCATTAATAATCGAGGAGGAAATGGTTTCACGCATTCAAATTAAATTGAAATTATAGAACGAATCGGTTTTTTTTCACAAGAATTCTGTTCCGATGTTTACTTTGAAAATAGTCCGACTGCAACAATGTTTCTATCTCGAGAGAGAGATAGGGAGGGAGACTGCGGTTACGTGGGTTATATATATATTATATGCGTTCAAAAGAATATAGCATTTATAGGGTGTTTCAGTTGTATTGATTCGTATAAATATGAGAAAAAGTTGAATAATTCACTGGTTTATCATTAACTATTATAGTTCATTTAAAAATTAAGAATTTTGATGAAAAGACAAAATTACATGTAATTAACTAAATTATATTTCAATTCAATGTAAGGAATAGTATTTTTTATTTTGACATTATTTTCAAACATTACTTTCAAAAATTAAAACTTGATAAATAATCGTTGCAAATTCAAACTAATTTTCCAAAATAATTTAGTATTTTAATAATTTTATAAAATAGCAGGTGATAGTTGATCAATTTCTGGCAAATAATCAAAAATAGAAAGAATCTTTATCCCGGACAAAGGACATTAGTCCAAATTCTTGATCCTTTCTCTCGAATATATGCGAATCGATATTTTACCTCCCGTATTCGGGTTACTGGTAAGAGGTCCTTCGAGGAAGTCACTGAAGTGAATGTAACGTAACTCCATGGTTACATAACCTGTGAAATGCGACGAAATATTATTTATTATCCCATAAGCAGATATGATTACATTTGAATATCGTCTCGTTTCTCTGCAATTCCATTGGTAGAAAAAAATGCATAAATGTAATTTTTTCTTCGAAAATCTTAATATATCTATGTTGTATTAAATTCTTCGAATATATTTCCTTTTTGCCGAAGCAACATTAATCGTTACAAATTACTAAAGTCTCTAATACAAAAATCGATGCTAAATGTCAGGATATACAGTCGAGGATTACTCGGAACAATCGTTTGAAAAGAACAGGAGAAAGTAGGTATAGTACGTCGAAATGAGAAAAAATGAAAGTTGTATCGAAACAATCTTGCACTCTTAATACTACATTTATAATTCTTAATTAAAATATTAACTTGAAAATTTTTGCATTTTTTATGGAATGTTACTGTATATTTTGCTAAATATAAGTAATTTATTATTCCTGTTCTTCTATTTTCACAATCTCGTATAACAACTCGATTCTGTACGATTCTGTATGATTACAATTACATATTGTAATTTAAAAAATTTTCAGAATTTCAGATTTAATTATTATCGATCACTTTAATCATTTTATTCTCTCGCATGTTTTTCTTAATGCGATATCGAATTCATGAAATAAAAGTAGAAGAAAAGAAAAAAATTACGCGAACCTATTTAATTATCTTATCGTGGAGACAAGTGCGCGACAAAATGGGAACGCTGGAAGAATTGCGGTCACTGGACACCTCCGGTGACTTAAACGGATTGACGTCTTATAAAGTTTTATACAATCTTCGCATGTGTTCAATCTGTTAAAAGTATATGGGATAATCGTAAACCGACAATAAGTAGAAGTTTCGTCATTCTAAAGAGAGATATTCGCATGATAATGACGATCAAAGTTGCGACTATTTGAAGGAATACCAGACGAAAAAGGATCCGGTTGATCGTCTAAACCGCGGTCTTGCGATAACAGACAAGAAAGCAAACTTAAAAAGCCGCTACGTGACTCAGTCACGCAGGTATTGACACTCGACGCGCATCAAGCGTTGCTGTCTTATTTTTCTCTCTCGTTTCGCGTTTCTTCGATTCGTTGCACGATACTAGCCGTCACGCATTCCTGATCCGCGTGCTGGTCGATCATGCCTCAGCGAATCTTTCCACGAGCTTTATTATTATTATTTTATATATATATTTCCCTCTCTTTTTTCACTCTTATCAAAATTATAATATAAATATAAAATATTAAAAAAAATAGGATAGATATAAATATAGATTTTACATCTATTCAAGAAATAAAAAGACGATATAATAAAAAATATTATAAAAATAGTTTAAAATTCGCGATATGCAGTCACATGATTTCCCATTCTTCTGTAACGCACATGCATTTATAGTTAGTCCGAAGAGTCCGAAGCTTGTAATATCGGTTTAAAAATCAGAAAAATTCAAAAATAAATTGACTGTGTGCTGTAAATGGTGCATCTTTGTTGCATTAAGTTCTACTTTTATCATCTTATAGATGTATGTACTTATGTATCTTATAGATGTGGCACGTGCAGCGAATTTATACAAGTGTTCAACAAATATAATTTATCTATCATAGATTCTTTCAGTTTGTAAGAAATTTTTTAATTTTTTTCATTCGTAATTTATTTCTATGTAAACGATTGATGATATCGATACAAAAAGAAATCATTTACTATTATAATTTATTTCGCCGATGATTTATATCACTCTAAAATATTTATTTTCAAATGCCGCTGTATAAATAATGTCTCAGTCCAACATATTCGCGTAATCTATATATCTGTAACAAATACCAGCACTATTTGAAAGCAGATAAGTCGTATAGAATTTCCTTTCGATGCACATACTGGTAACATAATAACACGATCGCGTAATTGATTTCGAGATAAAACATGCTCGTATTGTGTACGAACTACGATTAATTATTTCGATCTTGTTTTCATCCTTGATTCCCTTTTTTTCACGCAAAAAAATGGAATTTGATAAATTTTAATTCAATGAAAATTTAAACTCTATTGAAATGATCCAAATTACTTCAGAATTTGGCCAATCTTGACGATTCAAGGAGATTGATAAATTCGATGTAATTCGAACATAATTTGTGCATATAAACTGATTAAAATTGCACGTAATATATGTAAGTTTCTACTTGTTCCTTATCGAGGAAAGGTAAACAGAAATTTATGCAAACTCTCTTACGTGTTCATTTGATAATCCTCGACCTAACGATACTGTTTCTTCTTCTTCGTTGCGGAATTTTGTTGTTACCGTACGTGACTCGATCGTGCAAACAATACTAAGAAACGTGAATGAGAACTGTAAAGCAAGACTCCACCGTGTTGTTTTCCATTGTTAATTAATTGATAACGATGCGTTATTATCGTATCGTTGCTAGCACGTCGATTTCTTCGCCAACCTTGATTACTTTGCGATCGTATATCGCGATGACCTTCGCGTGTAGATGGTCGAAAAAACGATTAGGCGCACCCTTTTTAAGAATTTAATCACAGCATCGTTGCAAAAGTGTCCGATATTCAGCTTATTCCTTAAATAAGATAATTATCGAACAGTAAAAAAAAATTATCGCAAGATATTTAAAGAAAAAAGGGAATAAAAGAATAGAGATATGGTTCAAGGTACTACTGTTTCGAAATAACCCTTGGGATATCGGGAGACTAAATATAGCTGCATACTGATTGGAAACAGCTCACGTTCCATTAATAAACCTTCCATTAAAAACAATTTTTAATTAAAAGTACACGCGTCATTCTATTATTTCTGCGAATTTTAATTATAATATATAATTTTATAAACGTTTTTTAACTAAACATTTAACGTAGCAAGGATTGAAATTTATTTTATAAATTAACTTATAAAATATCATCTTTATTCTACGTTCACGGAAAAGGAAATTATGGAACCATATTAAGTTATATAATTCCATCGATTCATAAAGAGACAAAGGCCACCATTTACAGCGGGACGCAACAAATTAATCGGTGAGATCGATGCGATCGATACATACAGGTATTTTCGGCATGGATCGTGATTATTCGTCGTGCATGCGTACAATCACAGCGTATAGGAACGGCCGTGAAAAGTAAACGTCAATCGTGGTTGACAATCGGAACTCGACGCACGAATCCTCAGCGCCTCCGGTCTCGATCGTTCGCCGCTCATCGTCAGTCGGCGATCGGCGCTCGTGCTGTTTGTATCGTGTTTACGGGTGTCTCGAATTCGTGATCGCATGTATTTATCGCCGCAAGTATTCCTGTGAATATTTCAAAGTGTCGCGAGGTGTCTTAAAATTGTAAATTCTTATTTTTAATAGAACATTTTATTTTTGATCTCTATCGTTATACTTTTTATTCTCGTAAAAAATCGTATCGAACGATAAATTGGCCGACATTCTTAATCGTGATACACATCGATTATCTTATCGTGGTCTATACGGAAAGAGAAAAAAAAAAGAGAGGTGTAGTTCTCGTTGTGGCGTTACTGCGAGTGTTACGCAATCGTCACGACCAACCGGTATAATGAAGTCGAAGACGAGCGAAAATTTTATTGCGAGTGAAAGTAACGGGGTCAAGAGGGACCAGGAACTCAAGCAGAAACAGCTGAAAAGGGGTAAGGAGTTCTTTTCGAGTCGGGTAAACTGCTGCTCGAGACAATCTAGGGTGGAAATTGTGCCGGATAATATTTTAAGGGGAGAAATGAAATGTTTGGAATAAAATAAAATAAAGTTTGAAATCCTGAATGATGAATGCTTCGTGATATTGCGATTGTGTCATCCGATATTATCTGGAATTTCTTCTCGAAATTTTATCGATAAAAAGATTAATAATAAGATTAAAATTCGTCGATTTAGAATATATGTTTTTTTAAAAATTTTCCAACAAATATTATAGATACGTTAGCGTAAGAAAATATATTTCTAAAAAAATTTCGAGAACAATGACTTAACGATTTAGGTTTTTATGATTTCGTTTCGAGTGTCTTTCGGAGACCTTGAATTTCGTGTAACGTCATCCGCGTTAATTAATCACACACGATAGACGAAAGTAATTGTAGCGAACTGCAAAAACGTAACGCTTAATGACTGCGTGATATCATACATGATTCTTAGATAACGTGGGCAAAATTTTAACTTTATTTTAAACGAGTTTAAATTTCAAGAAACAATAGGATAAAGGTGCGATTTCGAACAAACGATTAGATAAAGAGAATAGAACGACAAGTAGCAGATCTTGAAAAAGAAGGAATTATTAGATAACTGTCGGTTATCTAACTAATATTTTTCTTTGAGTTTGCTCACTGACACGCGAAAAGTTCATCGATACGATCCCTTTCTTTCCGCCGTTTCCTCGAACGGCTCGTCACGATTTTCTCCCTCCGATGTTCGTGACGTGACCAGCAAAAAGAACGTGACCGTTCAGACACGATCGATGCATCTTTAAGCAGAGAACGATCGCCAATGAAAACTTCGAGAAAGGAGAAAGAACTTTCTTGTTCCTTAAATAGAATGATGCAGAGATGAAATCATAAATTTCTATATCTAATTAATAATTATATATATATATATATTAGTTTTTGTTTACTAAAGTTTACTTTTAAAGTTTTTCTTTTTTTTTTCTTTACTTTTGTATCTTGTTAAGATTAATTTTCGTATATCATTACTTTATCATCGTGG